TTCAGATATCATTAATATCATTATTATTATAGTATAAATTAATATCTCATAATATACTGTTAATGTATTTATCAAACCTAAAGAATTATATAATTCTATTTCACCTATATCTAGGTTTCAATTATTATTTATTCTTATTTGTATGAGTGTCATTATCATAATTAATATACTTAATCTATTTATATATTTTTTAATTCAATAACTTATTGTTATTAATAGTGGGTATAAAATAGTTAACATTTATGCTCCGTATAAGAATAAGAAACTCATCATTAATGCAAATAATCCCATCGCTTCTACTAAGGCAAACCCTAAAATAGTGTAAGTAAATAATTGTCCTCTTAATGATGGATTTCTACTATAAGCATTTATTAATGATCCAAATACATTTCCTATTCCTATTGAAGTTCCTGCTAAAGCTATTACAGCTAATCCTGCTGCTATTAATTTTGCACTTGCTAACATTTGATTGGTTTAACCCTCAAACCAAAAAACTTTTTTTTTAGTTGGTCTTCTTAACCTAAAATTTTTTTTATAAATAGACAAAACTAATAATATTTACAGTTCTTCAATTTTACCTATTTTAAGTTATCTTAATATTTTTATTATTATTGAAACTTTAATATATCTGAATATTAACTTTTTTTTATAACTTTCCTATTAGATAATACCACTTCTATTATCTTTATCGATCTTTTATACTTGGTAAATTCTTTAACATTTTTAAGCCTAATACAATTTTATACAAGATATCTTCTATCAATACCTCATTTATATTATTATCAACATTATTAATGGATTAATATCTAATAGAAAATATTTTATTTTTACCAAGATATCAATATACTAAAACAAAAACTAATAAAAATAGAATAAATATTTGAATGATCTAATTTAAATATGTAGGTTATTCAGTTATAATTTATGGTAGATTATAGTTTTTAATCCATTTAATAAATTTCTTATATAAATTTTAAACAATATACTGTCTTTGTATTCAATGAAAGTATTTAACATATCAGTTAAGATATTTTTTTTAATCGTGTGGTATCTAATTTAGTTAATTCAATCATATCTATAATACATAGTTTTATACCATCTTCCATTAGCTGTATTTAATACTGTGATCATATATAAAATATTAAACTTTCTTATATTTATAAAGATCAGGAAGGATTTTAGATTATATGCATACTTTTATAATGATATAGTTTTTTAGTAAATAGGTTTATTATGGTGTATTTTGATATAAATTTATATAAAAGTGTATAAGTTTTTGGTTTATTTATAATATATAGTAAGTAAATTAATATAGATAATGAGTATAGATCTAGGTTAAGTATTTTGGTTGTAAGGATTAATCATAGGTGACCTGTTCATAATAATAAATATTTATATTCGTTATTAATCAACATATG